TCAATAAATCTAAACCCATGTCCGACCCTCAACCCCCCAATGACGTTCAGCCCTCGGCCTCCATCCGGCAAGATCGCCAGTCGACTCACCTCGCTCACCTGAACACCTCAGTTTGCAAGACCTACTTGGTACGGAGTACAGGCTCACTCACAGCGCGCGCGCGCCCCCTACCTGTAGCGTCCCTATTGTCTCATGCCAGTGTCTTACGTCACGCATCGATGGATGTGACTTAAACAGCATGGCACGCATGGCTAAGCCCCTCCGGGAACCATCCAAAGCGCTTTCGATCTGCCGCCTGCATGGTATTGCCTACGCCTTTACCCATTTTCGACAGCGGGTGTCTGGCCGCTCTGGCGTGCCGGGGGATCCTGGGTAAGGATGGCCACACCCTTCTTTTCCTTCTCTCCCCTTGTCTGTCTTCTTTTCTGCCAACAGGCACACGAGGTATTTCGTGATATCTGATCTCCCGCCAGCCCGCTAGGGCCGTACCCTTCCCGGACGGAGGATTTTCTTACCTGTCAGATATCGAATGTGAGGGATGAAGAAGCACGCACCCTGCCACTTTGCGGGATGCCACCAATCACCACCCGCCTAGTGGCATGCATCCTGCCCGCGCATGGATTCGGTCGACTCTTTCTCGTGGATGATGGCGTTCGTGATATCATCTCACGCCCGCCTCACTTCTCGCCCGGTCAGATGACCAGGATGGGCGAGAGCGAGGTAAGACATCGTTGACGAAGCATCATACATGTAGGTAATGTCCCAAGCTAGACCCTAGGGCTTTGGGTTAGCCGGGGTGACAGAAAGAATAGTGGCAGTGATATCGCTTTTCTTCAGAATATCTCAAAAATTCCTTTCTCTTTCTCAAGTCTCACACCAGGAGTTGGAAAAAGGGGTCTGGAATGGTCCCGGAGCACATTCACCGTGCGCTCCCGTAACGACTTTCAAATGCAATTGATACCCCCAATCGCATCTACCGGGGCCCTTTCCCTCATTCACCGAAGTTGCCTCGCTCCCTTGACCATTCTCGACAGGGACTTTGTCAATCAGCGGAAGAAGAAAAGAGAGCCTTGCAAATGCTACCATCAGTTGAGATGGGACTCACAACCGTGGCAGGCTCGAGTTGACACCCAATCAGAGTTGATGATGGGTCAAAGGTATTAACCCTCAAGTCTTCCAGTTTACATGTAGTCCTCCGTCCCAACTCGACCGTTCTATTCAGCTTCGTCTCTTTGGTGAATCACAATACTCATTCACCGTTCTTATTAGAGAACCTATTTTGGAAAATAAAAAAAACGACTTTTTTTCGACTTCACAGGCCGAACTCTTCTAGGAGTAGGAATCTCAACCTTTTCGATAGACTGTATCCAATATTACTTACAATGGCCGTCGCAAGCGAGATCTCTCCCATCAGGGAACACTACATCAGCCAACTCACACCTTTCGACAAGTTCATTGCAAGCCTCGGCAAAACCGCTCGCCCGACAGACTTCCAGCTTGTGGATTTCGCCGACCTCGAAATTCTGGGGTCCCTCCCCGGCAAGACGGGAGCAAGGATTGTCACTAAGAAAGCCTCCGGCCTTACCCCACAGGGCACCTTCGTCTTCAAGGGGATGGACTTTGACCAGTACAAGCGAGACAGCAAAGACTTTAAGGAACACCAAGAAAAGACCCTTCTCCACGAGATCCGTACCTTGTGCACCCTACCGCCCCACCCGAACATCATGCCCTGCCCCAAGGTCCTCGTCGTCGTGCAGGACGGGGACGAGAAGTACCGCATCTGCGGCTTCCTTCAACCGGTCATGAGCAAAGACTCGGTGGACGAGCAGGTCATGCGCGCCAATAGAGCCGGACACCGTCTCCCACTAGGTCTCAAGGCCAAGTGGTGCTACCAGATGGCCCTCGCGATCCAGCATACCCACCAGGTCGCCGAGAGCTTCCACATGGACCTGAAACCCGGCAACATCCTCGTCGACGACTACAACGACCTCCGACTCATCGACTGGGAGCAGAGCGGGTTCTCCATGTTTACGCATCCACCCGAGGTAACCATCGACCAAGAGGCCGAAGAGTCGTCCGTTTCCACCGGCGCAAACGGTAAGCCGGTGGTCATTTATACCCCCCACACCGGCGCGCCGCGGAGAAATCAGAAGTGGGGATTTCCGGACTGGAACGTCCTTCCGGAGTGGAAGACGACGTGCCCCCGGGCCGCAGAGCTGGCGGAGGTGTTCAGTCTGGGCAGGACGATGTGGATGCTGCTCGAGCAGGTTGAGCAATCCCCCGACCCTACGGTATGGACGGCGATGGCGATGGACGTCCCGAAGGAGTGGCAAGACAAGGTCATGCGGTGTGTTGAGAGGGACCCTAACAACCGGCCTGAGTTGAACGAGGTGGTTGAATTTTGGCGCAAGCAATTGTGCTAGGGCTACGAGACTACGAATTTTGCATTTTGGGCATACTTACACAAAGCGGTGTAACATCAGGGACATGGAGTTTCTGGGGCAATCACACGGCGGAGGATACATAGAGGGAACTCCTTCGGAACCCTACTACAGTAGTACTTGTTTTTTAAGCAACACATTCTCCTCATATCCTCAAATTTGACAACTTCTCTAAGCGTAAGAAGCCCATCATGACCATATCTTCGTCACCATAAGCGCAGACTGATGGCGAAGTTCGGCATAAAGTTTGAATTTGTGAAAGAGGCGACCCAAGAATAGAGACACTAAGGCAGAGAACCCCTGCTTGCTGCAGAATGTCGCAAGCGACTCTGCTTTTGTCAAAGGCGATTCCTTCAGGTGGAGCAACCCCATTTCCCTCGCCCTAGCCAGCCTCCCGTTTGTGACTGGACAAGGGACACTCGCAGTTCTGTTCCCTTCCAATGAGTTGTTGAGCCTACACATATAGGAACTTACAGAAGGAATCTGAAAGTTTTGAGAACTTACACTAAGCCAAAGGGGCGGTCTCAGAGTCTTGACTGACCTCCGCACACCACTACCCCAAGACTGCGGCCCCGATCCAGGCCCAACGCCGATGCCTTGCCAAGTTCTCCCATCCTGTAAAAAGGCGATGATCTTGTCCCGAAATTGTAACTCTGCCATCCCATCCCGCCCTGTGGATCAGCACCCTGCGTTCTAAACGTGTCTCAGGCGCCGGTGGGAGAGGAGGTCCACATTCATGTAACCCACATCGCATCTTATGTATCGGCCGAGAGATGTAAAAAAGCCACTGCCACGGCAAACCGTTCTTCCGGTCTTGAGTTGCAATGAGAGGCGTGTGAGGCTGTCGAATAATATCGGCAACCTTGTATGCATACCTTAAGAGATCCAATGCCGCGCGTTCATACCCTCAACAATCCTCCGCTAGTATGGATGAATCGTGAACGTGGCCGCCAAAAACCCACTCCGCGCCACAAGTGTTGAAGAACTGAATTAAAGTGCAACATGTTGATTACCCAGGGAGCCAAGTATACTTTTGCTGGGACGAAGATTCTTGAAAACGTCTTGGCACCGTGAAAGCCTGTCGAATCGCTACATGAACGGATGATCCCGCTCATCATCCTTGACTGCCGGCCAACCGACGGGCAAATTGTAACCCCCCCCCCCCCCCCCTTGATAGACGGCCACCTGCATAAATGAAGCTGATTAGCAACCGGAAGAAAACCTCCATAAGAAATACCGTTGGTAATTCAGTATGTGTAGTCCTTATTGCTTTATGAACTTTTCGTGCCGCGACCGCCTTGTATCTGGTTTTCCTCTGCGACAGATCGTGAGGCGGACGGTGGGAATGTGGACGTCTCTAGCGCAAAGCCACCATAAAGTAGGTAGATACGGCAAAACGTTAAGATCTCAAGACCCGTACCTGAGTCTCGGTATCGATTGAGCTGCGCCCGTAGAAAGAGGGATCGACACCATACGATTCAACGAGGATGGTGCAGTCCTTAGCATCATAAGCATTTCATTAGCTAGCTTGCTTAGCAACGGTAACATCGCAACTTTCGCAACCACGTTAACTTTACGCTGCGAGCGATCGACACATTGATTCTGCATGGACCCAGGATGGTGCAATATTGACCTAATCTGAGTTCTTGGAATCTTTGGGAGAGAAAGAGTATTCAACCTTACAAACGAGAAAAGGGCTCTTGAGAGCAAAGTCTTGAAATAAGAGACATCAAAACCCATATGGACTCCTTGCGAGATGGTCACGGGATTTGGCGGTGATGGCTCCATGTCGCCACGAAAATGTAAGGGCACAACGAACGGCTTCTTCTGTCACACCCTAGACAGCCTTGACAGCTAAGGGGCACGTTAATGTATCAGGCGACTGAGACAGCAAAGTCAATTTTGGGATACGAAATGCAACTAAGCTACACCCTGACCAATTGTCTTCAATTTGGATGGTCTTGGGGTTGGAATGTGACACGAGCTAGACCACACGGGGATGGATTATCTATGCCGTATAGGGATTTAAGAGATATGGCCAGGTGGTTCGCGATATGACAACTGAGCTGAAGGCTCTGAGATCTGTTGGCACCTTTGGGTAGGGCAGATAAGCTGCCCAGTTGCAGTGCCACCATTTGAAATTTGAATGTTCCGACTAGGGATCTCTGGGTCTTTTGGTGTTGTAGCCGATTGTGATTCATCTTCAAAGGAGCTGGCACGTTGAGTGAAGAATAGGACTGATGTTGCTCCCCCCCGCGACTAGACCTGTCGAGTCCTTACGGTGAACATCAGGCTAAAGTGCGAGGAAGAGAAACGTGGCAATTGGGCAATGGCACAACCAAATAACTCACTTGCAGAATCCATGAATCATCGGATTCGTTGGATTGGGTGTTAAGCGCGCTTTGGTCGTCATCTTTACATCTATTCATGTATCTACCTTGCCAGACCCAACCCTCCCATTTTGAGGTCTAAACCCGTACCTAGCGTAGTTTTTGTTGCCCTTGATATAGCGTCCCAAAGATCTGGAAAAAGTGCAGTTTTTCTTGCGGACCAACTGCCTTATTGGTTGCCCAGAGTCTTTCCGAGCTCCTCACCGCGATCCGCTGCAGCCTTGACAGCCTTGTTGACAATCTCCTGGAAACCGGATGCCTCGAAGCTCTGAAGAGCAGCATGTGTGGTACCGTTGGGGCTGGTGACATTCTTGCGAAGCTGACTGGGCTCCTCGGGGGACTCGACGAGCATCTTGCCGGCACCGAGACAGGTCTGGGTGGCCAAGCGCTTCGCCTGCTCGGGGGAGAGGCCAAGGCCAACGGCGCTGGAAATGAGATGCTCGACCATGGCGAAGAAGTATGCAGGGCCAGATCCTATGGGCTTTTGTTGGATTTGTCCTCTTTCGCTGACGACTGATGCATTGTGTCCGGGCATGACTCACCTGATAAGCCTGTGACAACGTCAATTAGCTCCTCCTTGTCAACCCACTCCGTCGCCTTACTGACGCTCGCCATGAGGGACTCGGTCAACTTCTTCTCGTCTTCGGTCACGTTGCTGCCCGCGAACAGACCAGATGCGCCCTCGCCCACCAGGGCAGGGGTGTTGGGCATGACACGCACGACGTGCGGGGACCGGCCGTCGTCGAGCGCCAGCCACTTCTGCAGGGCCTCGAGGGTGATACCAGCGGCGATTGAGACGACTACAGGCACCTTCTGCTGGCCCGAGACGGCCTTGCCGAGCTCGTTGCAGACGCCCTTTGCAACCTGGGGCTTCACGGCCAGGATGGCAATGTCGGCGCCGACAAAGGCCTCAGCGTTGGATGTGGTGGTCTTGACGCCGAGGGCGGCCATCTTTTCACGGTTCACATCCCAGGGCTCCGAGACGGTGACGTTTTGCTTGTCGATGCCCTTTGCGACCAGGCCTCCGATGATCGCTGCGGCCATGTTGCCGCCGCCTGTGAATACCCCGCGTCAGCCCCGCCATCGTGGGTGGTCGTTTAGTGTTGCATGGGACGTACCGATGAAGGCGATCTTGCTGGACTCCAAAGCAGGTGCCATGTTTGATGTTGTCTGGTTTCAATTGAGTTAATTGACGTTAGGGTATTCCGCAATACGACGAGATGAGCTACTGAGATATGTGTAGTGAACTTGAGGAAGTCGATGAGTTTGACTGGGGCCGGAAACTGTGGCGCCGCTACCGGACCCATTGTTTTTGGAAAGTGTGGCGTCTAAAAGCCGAACCAGTGAGTCAATTCCCGATCACCCAATTGTCCGAATCTACGGCCTCGATGGACACTTCTGTAACTTTTTCCATCGAGAAATGCTGAGTAACTGTCATAACTGTTTCATTTGAAATGGTGACCAATAAGAAGAAGTCTAATCACTACTGAAAATATTGAATTGTGGCAAAGGGGCTCATGGCCCAGATGTCACTCAACCATCAAGAGGGCGTGGAGTCGCTAAAAGAAAATTTCTCAACAGAATTCAAGGCAAGATAGCTATTTGGAGTAAAAAAGCCTGCTTGGACAATGAAGGCATAAGAGCTGAAATATACCCGACGCCTGTTATCGAGCCGAATGTTTTGCTTTGAACCTTGACTTGTGAATTTGGGAAGGACTTCAGAAAGTTGACTAAGTTTTACTGACTTTGACCATGTGCGTACTAAGCGCTCTCTACCGATATGTCTTTCCAAGTCTCGAAACACATAATGTTTATCCAAGTAAATCGTGCTGAACTCATCCCCCTGATCTTCCAGTGTAAGTGCGGTCGTGTCTCGCGTTCGAGGCTGTGACGCATCATGCCTTTGTCGACGTGATAGAGTTCGAGAATGCTCAAGGACTCAAGGTAGGTCTCCAGTATCTTCCCTTTCTTTCTCATTAACACCCCCAGGAATAATCCACTCCCATTCCGGGGGGCTCATGCACTTTCTGCAATCCAATCCCGGGACGTTCTTGCATCCCCACCAGCGTCCGCGCTTTTCCGGTGGCCAAGCATCGCCATCGGTGCAACAGGGGTGACACTGCCGCTTCTGAATTTTGCTTATCGGCTCGAGATCCCGTTTTGGTGTAGGTTTCTGTGCGATGTTGAACTTGCCGTCTTCGTAACAGCTTATCGGAGCCTTGGCGCTGCAACAGTCGTTGATCTCAGGACAGTTCGGATCTGAGTTGCTGCGGAGAACATGGGTGGCTGTGATGGTGCATGTCGGACAGGCCTTTCGAATATTGTAGAGTGTCTGTCTAGAGATGCGCGTTGGTACCTTTGCGATTTGGTCTTCTGTGGGTGCTGGGGCGGCCATTACGCCGCTGAGAAGAGCAGCGGAGAGGAGTGAATGGATCTTCATGCTGGAAGTGTGGGCAAAGAATAGGCTTTCGAGCTGAGGATAGCTTGAAAATTGGAAACGGAAGAAGGAGGAAAAGTTTTCATGACTCAAAAGCGATCACCGTCCCATTTTATAGTCTTCCATAAAACCTTTGTAGACATGGTAAAAAGGGTCCTCTGGAGCGGCTCATGTTAGACGTCTTGCTTGCTGTCATAATAGACTTTGACTGCATAATAGGCCATGAAACATTTGCCTCTCGACGTTTCTCGCGGGAACTGAAACCTCGTGCTTGCGGCTGGCTACCTTGATGTGTCACTGAAAATGAGCCTGGACCTTTAGGGTTATCGCAGTCACCCCGGGACCATACAGGTTGGCGAACCCGTGACTCAAACTATCCTATTAGTTATTCCTAACTACCTTACCTTGTTATCGAAGAAAGTAAAATCAGTTATTCCATCATTGTAGCATCATTCTAGGAGGTACTCTGGAGACTTCAAATCAACCCATCCCAAGTTGGGCTCCGACTGCTTCCAGCCAAGACGGTCACGCACGAGTTTTGAGTATGTCTTGACATCTTCAATCGGGTAGCTTAGATATGGAATCTCCTGCATTTCCGTGAGTAACCGTACTTTGTAGTAAAGGTTGAAGCCTACAGTCTCTTACCTCTTGACGGTGAACGCCGCTGCACATGAACATGATGTGCACTGTTCGACATCCCTTCTCCAGGGAATACTGTCCAGCGCCATGGTACAAACTGCCCAACATCACAAATGCCTCGCCTCTCTTCAACTCCGCGTTTTCAACACCTTTTTGGCCATCTTCTCCAAAGTCAGGCTTTCCATCGCCCCACAGATGTGACCCGGGAACGATCCGGGTGGCACCGTTTGCTTCAAACGTATCGCATTCCGGAACGAATAGGCCAAGAAGCATATCGCGTCCTTTTGTGTAGTGACTAGCCTTGATGTGCCTCGCATGATGGTTTTTGTCGTCGCGATGCAGTTTCTGTGCTTTTGCTCCCGGCTGGGAGGACATTGCGATGGAGATCGAGAGCAAAGGCTCGGATTTGTGGATGGTGGGTTCATCTCCGTACCAAAGTTCGGTCTTAAGCCCAATGAAGTGATCGGCAATGTCCTGTGGAAGCCGGTCTTAGTCAATAATGGATTCATGAGCACGATAAAGATGTTGTAAGCGCACCTGGTATAAAGAGTCTGAGAAAAACTTCTCGCGGACAGTTTTGCTTCGACCAACGAGCCTCGTACAAGTCGCAATCCCACCGTTCAGAGCACCAACGGTACTTCCGGATTGCGCAAGCGACGCATCGAGATACGGCTGCACTTCCTCATGCGCAGCATCAAGTGAAGCCTGGTTCGTGAAGTCTTTGATGACAGCGCACCCATCCTCTTCTATTGCGCTAATGAAGGCCTGCAACCCGGCTTCTCGATGAAGTCGTTGGACCATTTGAGAGACACTAATGATTATGATGCAAGGAGCTAAACCTTTGGCAATTGCGCCACCCGAAGACTGGGTGAAACTCAGGAAGACAGAGAGTTCAACACTATTGATGGGTTGGGTAACGTTGATGATGGAGTATCTTGTGGGTTGAAGTTGTCTTAGCCTCCAGCTTCCCCTCGACTTGGCAGGCAGATAGGATGATCCCGGAAAAGATAACGCGACAGGCGGCGGGCGGAGATGAGGAGATGTAAGTGGAGACTGGCAAGGTGTCTCGCGCCATCTAAACCGCCCGGTATCCCGCCGGCGCATCATCTCGGCATCAAGGAACCGACGACTCTAGATCCTCAAAAGTGGACTAGATAGCTTGAATGTTCATGATAGACTCTATTGCAACATCAAATCTTTCAAACCTACCAAAATGTAAGTAAACTATGTATTGTACATGTAAGTTTGAAACTTCAGGAGGCGAGTTGAACGGTATAGCGAAGAGTTTATTCATCTTGTCTATTATCATCAAATACACTCAAGCTTTATGAAGCGTTTTTTCGTAACTCGCAAATACTACATTAATATCATTGGCTTTATTAAGGTACGCCCTCAAACCTTTGGAGCACAGGCTTGGCATATGTGCTTTCAGCCTGTTACCGCGGCACCGGTATTCAAACAAACGTGGTACCGTATCCACTTTCACCTCCGGGCAGAACATCGACCGATAGAGGAGCTTCATAGGGAGCTTCCGAGCTGCTAAACTCTCCCTCGAGAGCTGAGAATGGGATATCCCTCCAAGTCTGCTGGATCTTCCTTGCGCTGTCCAGGAACCGCGTCTTGACGTCCTCATAGTCAGGCACCACTAGCTTATGGTCTTTCTTGACAAATTTGCCGTCCACCAGGACGTGCTCGACATCGGCGACGCTAGCGTGTAGAATTACAGCAGCGACAGGGTCAACCCAGCCGAGGAGGGCGGGACTCTCGCCATTCCAGACAACCACGTCGGCTTTGGCGCCTTCGGTTATGACGCCCAGATCCGGGCGGCGAAGAGCAAGTCCCCCGTTCCTTGTAGCGAGGAGAAAGGCTTGATTGACAGTCATCGGCGTGCTGGTAGGTACGCGCCAGTTTGCGAGGACTTGCTGATAGAGTAGGCGGCGGGTGCTCTGAAGCCATAGGCGGGCTTGCGTAAGGATATCGGTTGAGAAAGTGAAGTGAGTGTCAACACCGAGGGAGCCTTGATCTTGGATCAGGTGGCTGTGAGGATGTGTGTGACCGTAATGCATCTCCGATTCTGGCGTGATTGAGATATACTGGTTGGTGGAGCGGAGAAGAGATGCGCCCTTGTAGGTCAGGAATGACGCGTGCGAAAAGACGACCGGAATGCTGGTATTGAGTGCTCCGATAGCATGGACATCCTCTGGACTGTTGGTGTCTATGAAGTGGTCAATATGAGAGCTGTACTATTATGTGGTTAGGGCCAAGAACTTACTTCCCCAAGGGCCCTGCAGACTATGCGTTGTAATCACTGAGACGTTGAACTCTCTGCCGCCTGTTAGAATGACTTCCACTGTCAACTTGTGTTGAACGACGTACTTGGCAAGATCGATAACTGCAGTAATATCCGCGAGAACACCGTCGGTCCCAAAAAAGTCGCACGCCACTCCCAAGGTGGTAGGAGTACCGTCAAACTCGGCTTTGGTCGCTATGCTTCTGAAGTTTTCCAGCTGCTCCGAGATGGTAAAGTTTGTGACGTTGTGAAAGGCATACGACCAGAAGACTCTCGCGCCGCTGTCAATGCTGCCCTTCAACCCTGCTTCCGAAGTCTCATCAGACCAAGTGTGATGGGCGTGATCAAGCGTCGTCGTGACACCGGCATTGAGGGCCTCGTAGAGACCCGCGAGCTGGCCAATGTAGACATCGTCGGCACTCAAGAGGCCAGCGGCAGCGTACTCGCCGTAGCGCGTGAAGTACTCCGCGAGCGAAGTATTCGAGGCGATGGTCCTGAAAGCTGTTTGCCAACCGTGGCGGTGGGTGTCAACGAAGCCCGGTGTGATGATCTTGTTCGTGACATCGATGACTTCCGTGTCGTTGGATGATTGCGGCAAGGGCTGATCTGAAGTGTAGATGGAAGTGATGCGGTCGTCCGTGATGAGAAGAGAGCCGTTGCGGATGACGTTCAGTGAATTGCTTGACTCGTCGAAGCCAATAATCGTACCACCACGAAGAAGTACTGAAGACGCATCCGCGAGGGCGACGAACGCGGCGACGGCCGCTGCTAGGCTGATGGAAGGCATTTCTC